TTGAAACAGTCACTAGAGGGAAGTTTATAGCTCTAAGTGCCCTCATTAAAAAATTAGAAAGAACAGAAATAAGTGACTTAACATTGCAATTCAAGACACTTGAAAAGCAACAACAAATGAAACCCAAACCAAGCAGACAAGAAGAAATAACAAAAATCAGAGCAGAAATTAATGAAACAGAAACCAAGCAAACAATGAAAAGAATCAACAAATCCAAGAGCTGGTTCTTTGAGAGGATAAACAAGATTGATAGACTGCTAGCCCAGTTAACCAAAAGAAAGAAATAGCACCTCCAAATCAAGATGAAATCTTGAAATTTTCAGGTAAATGGATAGAACTAGAAAATGTTATACTAAGTGAAGTAACACAGACTCAGAAAACAAAACAAAACAAAAACATATGTTCTCCCTCATATGTGGATCCTAGCACCAGACTCTGATAAATAAGAATGCAACCAGACTTAACTACAGGAACCAGGATAATGGAAGGGAACCAGGGAGGTAAAGGAAAAGAAATAATCTGAAAGAGAAGAACAGTAGGGAGATATGGATAAAAATGGGGTTTAAATAGGGGATGGTGAGGGAAGGTTATACAAGGAACCTCGGAGATAAAGGGAAAGAAGGAGCTCAAGCGAGGTGGGACCATAGGAGAAGGGTATTATTAAGGGAGAAATGGGAAAAATGGGGGCACCTTAAATGGAGAAACCATGCTGGAATGTTTAGACAACACAAGAGATAAATAATGCCTAGTTAGTTTAAAAAAAAAAAACAGAGCGAACCATATTAGTCCAACAACCTACTGACAAATTATACATACAACTAGATCAAAAAATATATGTCTAGGCAAGGTTTATCTGAGAGCATTTAGTCTTTTCCCAGGCTTTATCTACATGGCACATGGTAATTAAAAGTACCAGACTGGTGGAACTAAACTTCTTGGATGTTTAACAGCCATACTATGAGGCCTATACTATTTGGTCAGAGGGACATAAAGCACAGTTTTTGCTCCTTTCCCTCCTAGGTCGACTACATTCCAGGGGACTATGAGCATCTCTCAAAATGTCCTGTAACTGTGGTGAGTCACCTGTCCTCTTGATCAAGGAGGCCATGGAGACCCCACCAGATGGACTTGAACCAGTGTCCAGTCTACAAAGAGGAGGGTCAACGCAGAGGAAATATTTCCTCCATGCTTCCAAGTGTAGTCAGGCATGGTTGAATAGGACCTTTGACTTATCTGCATGTAGATGGAACTATGTGCAGATAACTTAGTTCCATAGATGGAACTAAGAATGGAGCCAGGGGCTCCTCCCAAGCCCATTACCCCTGAGAAACAGATCCTCAAACGACCTTAAGACTAAAAATTAATTGGTTTATCTGGGCCAATTGTAGGGTATTAAACACCCAACAGGAAATTATAACCAAAGAGTTCATATGTATAGCTAAAGGCTACATAACAAGAAAGAATGCCAGACAGGAGATACTTTCCTTTGAGTTATTGGCCAGGGTGGCCCAAAAGACTCCCAGACAGTAACCCAGCATGGAACTGGGAAAATAAACAGCAAAGCCCAATCTTATGTAAAGGAACATTGACAACTGATTGCTGCTAGATGAGGAACAGCTGATCTTCCTAAAACAAGGATCTCTGGATAGGCTGATTAGATTCAGCAGATGGATGAACACCGTGGAATGGCTGGGGGTGCGATAACACAGTGGACAGTAGCAGGGATGAGAGTATATGGGCTCCAGTGGGGGGAGTGGCTATGGGAGGGTGCCATTTGGGAAGTGGGTATATAGATGTATAAAATTGTGTGGGATGTTCTGTATGAGATACACACAAAAAAATCAACAAATTAAAAAGAAAAGATTTCTATTTGAGGAGGAAGCATAAAAATTTACTCATGTTAATTAGTAGAGGTGATAAACATTACCATTGAAATCTGCCTGATGACTTTATATCCATACTCAGGTGCCAAGGATCCAAATGTAACTGACTGTGACTAGTAATAATCAGATACATAGATTAAAGACACATGTGCAAACATCTAACCGTTAGTAGCATTAAAAATGTAGGAAACTGCAGATTTTAAAATGAAACGGAGATCTTCTTTAAAAGGTAAAAACTCATTCCATTTTTATCTTACAGGGTTTATACTGAGTTCAATATTGCATATAGTATAAGTGTATTAGTTCAACTATGAACCTAACATTTTACAGCCACTTTTGAAAGAGATGTATTCTTGCTCTGGAAATTGTTATTGAATATGTTAAAGCTGTAATGAAATGCTTCTTCTAATCATGGTTATTAAATAAAATAAATAAGCAAAAAAAATTTAAAAAGATATGCTAAAATATTGGCTCTCCATGAAGCATGTTCAGAGACAGAGCTTTAGAAAAGTTACTGGCTCACGAAGGGGCTTGATATACTCTACCTCCATTCCCAAACAAAACTTTCTTTGCAGTCTCCCCCTTACACTTGAACCCACACCCTCACATATGCTAGGCAATGCATACCTCACATACCCCAGCCTCAACAGCTTTCCTTGTATGTCACACGCCCATCCTTACATTTGCTTACTCCCAAACCCGACTCATAACTGGTGTTTCCTTTTCCCTCATCTCCCACCTCTAAACACCAAACCCCATTGTTATTTCTTCTTTAGTTCTGCCATCATTCGGACTCAAACCACCCTAATCTATCTCAAATATGAGCAGCCACCTATTCTGCTTCCATTCTTCCCGCTCTACTATCCATTCTCCTCTCTAAACACATAAACCAGATCATGTCAAGTAATTCCCTTGATTTATAATCATATCCTGTTGCACAGAGAATAAAAGCCAAACTTCTTACTCTGGCTTTCAGTGCTGTGTGTGGTCTGGTTTCTGCCTTACTCCCTCTCATCTCTTAACTATATTCCCATTTCCCCCCTCATTCCCTCTCCCCAAGCATACCAAGCTCACTTCTATCAGGTGCCCAAACTCGGCACCAACTCTGTCCTTTGCATAGCATACCAAGCAAGCTCACTTCTAGCTCTGCATGAGTTCTGTGCTTTGCATCTGATACCTTCCCAGTTAATTACCTCCTTCATTTTATATATGTTGGTTGGTATATTTAATGCCTGAAAGCACAAGGTTCATTAATTGCTTCTTTTATGGTCAGTATGTTACTGCTTTATAAAGCGATGGCTTTTTTTGTTTGGTTTTTTTTTTTTTTGGAGACAAGTTCTGATTATGTTTGCCTGGCTGGCCTGGAACTCACTATGTAGACCAGGCTGGCCTCAAACTCACAAAGATCCTTTTGCCTCCTTCTCTGGTCCACTGGGATTAAAGACAAGCACCACCACGCCCATGTAAAAGAGGCCTTGACTGCACTGTGAGCTCGGGCCCTAGAAACTGGTTTCTAGCATAGCTAAGTGGTTAATTAAGATACATTGAGTGACAATGCTCATTTCTACTATAATAGCCGTAAACATCCAGCAGCTAATTTTTTTTTTTGTTTTTAATGAATTAGGCACTCAATAAGTAAAAGCCGTCAACAAAAGTGCCTTTTAATCCAAACAATGTCCATCTACGTATGTAGGCATATGACAGAACGCCAGCAACTGAGACTTTGCTTGGAATTTTCTTCTTTCCAGAAAATAAGATTGGGTTTTGAACATTAAGGCTCACCCTACCGTTTTGTAAAGGATTATTTGGAGCCTTTCTGTAAATGCATTGGGCAGTCCCGGCCTAGGGAAGGCCGCCCACGACTCCTGCGCAAGCGCCCTGCAGCCGAGTCCTTGGCTCTGCGGGCTCCGCATCGCGCATGAGCAATTCAAAGCCGCTTCAAAGTTGCGCGGGAAGAGCCGCGCAGGCGCAGTAGGTCGACTAGGTGGGCCACTCCTGGAGGTGGCGAGCCAGGTATCCGGGCGAAAGCGAAGTCGTGGTCTTGCGAACCGTGAGTTATAAGCTTGTTCCGTGGCGCGGAGTTGTGAGGAGTTAGGAACGCATTCCCGATTGCGGTTTTGGTTTTGTCGCAGTGCGGTTTCTGCCTTTGCCTTGGTCGGTGGGATCCCGCGGCGGAAAGTGTGCGCCTGCGCACAAAGCTTCCCGTTGGGGCTGAGGAGCAAGGTCAGCTGAGCTGGAGGCCTCGCTCCCTGTAGGCTGCCCATTCATTCGCCTTCCCTCCCTCCGCCCGGCGCCCCTGGCTCAGTCTCTTAGTTCCTCACCTGTTTGAGTCAGGCCTTGAACGAGCTTCCTGGCGGGTCTTTTTAGGGAGCAAACCACCAGTCTTTATCCTCAGGTCAAACCGTCGGTCCCCTCCCCCATCCCCTGAGGCTGGCTTCCTCCGCCTCTGAGTCCTTATCCCCATTCTGCATTCTCAGCCCCTTCCCACCTCTGCCTGCAGCTCAGAAATCCCCCCACCCCCTGCTGGATTCTGGGTGGGGAAAGTAAAGCAACTAATTTCTTGGAAATGCCACTACTTCCCTTACTCTGGGGGTTTGGACGTATGGTGCGGTTTTTTAAATGTTTACCCCTTGAGGGCAGTGACATTGTTGAGTGCCTGGTTCAGCGAGTGATTTCACCTTCTTTCTCTCTGTGTTCTGATTCTCACAGCTGCTGTTCGCCCCTCTGGCCATGACTCCTTAGCTGGCATTTTGCACCCCAGTTGTTTGTGATGGAGGCCTCTTTGGCGATTCAGATGGAGGAGCCTATGGTGTTTTCTCCCTTGCTTGACTGTGGCAGGTTTCAGGCTGAGGACTCTTTAAAAAAATATGAGCAGACTGTTAAACTTCCAGGTATGTGTTTAGCACCAAGCCCTACAGTTCTAAAGATACTCAGGCAGCATTCTGTGTTTTCTACTGCATTAAAAACCCTCTTATTAAGGTGAACTGTATGTTTATGTAGGGTTTTACCTGTCCATATAGTTTCATAAAAATCGAGATTTGGGATTGGATTGCACTTTAAGAGTCTGTCATTTTACAGATGAAGTTGATACCGTCTAAATATGAGTGGCTTTCTAGGAAAACGTGTTTGTTGGTGTCTAAACTGGAATTTCTCTTCTAGATCCATTCTCTTTCCTCACGTTACTGCATAAAGCTTGGTTTTAGACATTGACGGGGAGGGGATTGTCACTTAAATATTCAGAAGCAGAATTCACTGACAAAAATGAAGTCATTTGTAGCAGTGATAAAGAACCCTGTCTCACTACATGAAGTGTTTGGCTGTGCCACAGACTTTAGGTTTAGAAGATGATTGAAAATATCAGCTCTTCTACACTAAAATAATACACCAGCTGGACATGGTGGTAGACACCTGTGATTGCAGCACTTAGAGGTGGAGGCAGAAGGCTCAGGAGTTAAAGGCCAGCCTGGGCTACTTGAGACCCTTTCTCAGCCCCTATCCCGAGAAAATAGTGTGTGCCTTCATACCTGTTTTGGCACAAATTCTGGGAGGTAGTGGCCATTTAATAGGTATGTTTTTAAATAGAGTTCCACTTGATTCTATCCTTTCCCTAAAAGCTTAATCTTGGTCCTAAGGAAATTTGGGTTTGTCAAAATAGATACTATTTTTTACTTCATTCCTGGTATGTACTTTATGTGTACAACCCAAAAGACTTCACCCACCTTAAAAATAATTACATATTTTTTCTTTCTGACTAAAGCTAAGCTGATCTTTGGTGACACAATGAGTACCTTTCTTGTGTCCCTCTTTATGGTGACGAACACCACTGTTATTCAATGCTAACACCTAAACTTGAGGGTTATCCTTCACTTACCCTTTGTATTTGTCCCCTGGGTGCAGTCATTCAGTTTTATCTTCTGGTAAATAACATGTGTGGTATTCTCTCCTTTCCCATTTCTGCCACATTAATTCATTTCCATATTCTTTGTTCTTGGATCATCATTAAATTCCTTACCTGAGCTGCCTACCTCCTTTTCTGTTCATTTTTCAAATTCATCTTGTATGCTATTAGATAAATCTTAAAATACCACTTGTATCCAGTTTCTTGGGTGCTGTCTCCCCCCTTTTTTACAATCACCTGTTTTCGGTTATTAGTTATTAGACACTCAGTGCAATGCATAGTCATCATTCCTGTATCATTTAGCGCTCTGTTTTGTCTCTTGAGTTTGGCTTCTGGTGCGCATTGTTCATTAAGAGGGTGTGTATGACCGAATCTGATCTGGTGCTAGTGTTATTTTCTGAGGAATACTACTTTTCTAATACCCTGAAAATCTGGCAAATTAATGGGGTCAATTTTACTCCCTCTTTCAAAAGTTTTATAGCTTTTACATAACCCAACCATAGAACATTATAAACAGTGCCTGTGTTAATTTATAAAACATGCTGAAATTTTATCCTTGTGATTCTTTTATATAACTCTTCAAAGCTGAAGCTTGAAATCAAACTTGACTTCAGTAAAGAGTAAAACTGAGGGCTAGAGAGATGGCTCAGCGGTTAAGAACACTGACTTCTTGCAGAAGACCTGGGTTCGAATCCCAGCACCCACATGGCAGCTAACAACTATCTGTAACAACAGTTCTAGGACGTCCGACAGCCTCTTCTGTTCTCCGTGGGCATTACACGACATGGGTGCACTTACCTATGTACAGGCATAACACTCATACACATAAAATAATAATTAAAAAAAAAAAAAAAGTAAAACTGCTGAGGTCCCGGCATGCACCTGTCTGTTGGTCTAATTTGGAATGTGCTCAGATTAGATCATGAAGCAGTTACGTACCTAAGCCTGACTGGCTTCTTTCCTTATTGAAGTTATGGTTTTGATTGGTTACTGGAAGTTTTTAGTATATCTTTGCATATATCTAGAACAAAGAAGAGTACACAGTGATTAAAAGTATTAAATGCATGATAGGAAACACAGTGAGACAGATGAATAGCAAGGCCCTTTAGTTTGAAATATTTATTGGAGTTTCGTAACATGACAAAGTTATATATACTTATTGCAGGACATTTAGAAAGCCAAAGCAAGAAAATACTTTTCTACTACTTAGATATTGCCAATGTTGAGACTGTCTTGCATTCCTTTAGTCATATGTAGACATAGATCCAGATAGAGAGAGGTGGGGGAGCAAGCAAGTATAAACGCACATGTGTGCACATTGGATTTAGAGGCCAGAGGACCACCTTGGGTGTCATTCCTCAGGTACTGTCCATTTTTTTGAATCAGTCTCTTTGTCCTAAAGCTCACCAGTTAGGCTAGGTTAGCTGGCCAGTGAACCCCAGTGTCTGCCTGTCTGTGCCTCAGCTCTGCAGTACTGGAATTGCAAGTATGTCACCATGCCCAGTTGTTTCTTTTAGCATGAGTTCTGGGGATCTGACTCAGGTCTTCATACTTGCACAGCAACATTTTACAATCTGAGCCATCTATCCCTAAGGTGCATAATTTTAAAAACGAAAGTTGGAATTATAATCAGCTTATTTCTAACCCCCCTCCACCCTGCAGTGTTAGGAAACTTATTTAGTTTTGTGCATGCTGGGCACATGCTCCACCAGTGAGCAGCACTCCCAGCTCCTCTAGTCTTTTACTTACTCTGTATCATAAACACTTCTTAAATTCTTGACTATTCCACAGTTTGGCTTACATGCCATTGCTTAATATGCTATAACTTAATTGTCTTCTATTGTTGAAGGTTTAAATCATTTTCTGGTTTTCCCTATTAAGAAAAATGCTGCACTGCACAAAGTGCCTGGCATAGGCAGATTAAATGTCAGATTAAATGTTTATTATGTGTTTGAGCAGACTTGGTTTTTAAAGATTGTATGTGCCAAGTTTAATGAGAAAGATTTATTCAGTAAGAGTGAAGTGTAAACTACATACCAAGTGTCTCTACTTTAGTGGTAAACTATTCCAGAAGGGCTTGACACCCAAGTGCATACCTCTAAAACGGGTTACAAGGTACCATTTTGGTTTGTCCAAGACAGATTCACTTTGCACCTCTTGTCACAGAATAGTTACTGGTGCTCCCTTTTCACAATTTAGAGCATTCCAGTTTGTGTGACATTGTATGATTCCCTTAACTATAGGAAATGTAAGTGAGTAAACAAAGTCCCAGAATAAACATGGCATATTCCGATACTCAGCTTTACTCTATGGTGAAGCATTGAAAACATACTCTTCATGTGATGCATACTTACTAAATATCTATTCTTTGCAGGTCCTTTTCTAGATGGTAGCGATAAATCAGTGAAGAAAACATAAATTAATGTTCCCAAGCAAATGGAAAGAGATGGATAATAAATAAAGGAAATAAATACTGTGTTCAGAAGTGATTAGTGTTTTGAAGAAATACAGGCTAAAAGAGTTAGAAGTGTGGGAGGAGATTGGATTTTAAGTATACTCAGAGGAAGCCTCGACGAATTAGTGTTTGAGCCAAGACCTGAAGGTGATGAAAGACGAGATTGTGACTGTAAGTGTAGTTAGTCGGAGACAGAGAAAGCGTCAGGGAATGTTTGAGCTAAGTAAAGCATAAAGATAGAGAAAGAGTGAGTTATTCACGCATTTGGGGAAGAGGATCTGAGACAGGAAATAACAAGTGCACTATCCTCATCACCAGCCCATCCTCAGATAGAGCATTTCATACAGCGACTAATAAAAGCAAAAGCCCTGAAGGAATAAAGTTAATAACTGTAATTATAACAGTAAGAATTACCACAGTTATGCATTTTGCACACTTAGTATTTACTGTGTGATAGGCTTTGTGTATAAAAACTATCTGGGGGCTGGAGAGATGGCTCAGCGGTTAAGAGCACTGACTGCTCTTGCAGAGGACCCGGGTTCAATTCCCAGCACCCACATGGCAACTGCAAACCGTCCTTAACTCCAGTTCCAGGGGAATCTGAAGTTCTCTTCTGACCTCCAAGGCATTGCACGACACGGGTACACTCACATACATGCAGGCAATACACTCACACACATAAAATAATAAGTAAAATATAAAAAAACAACTGTATTTGGAGGGGTGTGTGTGTGTGTGTGTGTGAGAGAGAGAGACAGAGAGAGAGAGAGAGAGAGAGAGAGAACTTAGACCATGTCCATGCGCTGTCCAGATGTTATGAATACTATTATGACATTTTTATCCCAACTATTTCCTTCTGTAGATGAGGAAACCATGGCTGGGTATGTTGCTCAGTGGTGGAGCGCTTGCTTAGCATGCACAAGACCCTGGATTTGATTCCCCACCACTGCAAACAGTAATACACAGATAGGGAAACTAAGAGTCACAGAGGTAAACTCTGCTCAGTAGGTTCTCACAGTGGAGCTATGCTTCTCATTTAGTTCTAATCTCCTCCAGTGTTGTGTTATAGTACCTCCTGTTGAAATCCATGTGAACCCTCCAGTTCACCCGTGATACAGATGGAAAGGTGAGGGCAACTTACGTAAGCTCCTGTTTCTTTAGATGGATCAGGGTAGTAGAACACTGCACTAGATTTTCTTTTACTTGTTATTTTGTCTCTTAACTTTTCCTTTATTCTTTCAAATCTGTTTTCTACTTAAAATCTTTCTGTTGCATTCATTTATCATCTCTGCTTTTCCCTTTTTAAATTTTGGTTGTTTTGTTGGGGTTTTTTGGGGGGAGCGCATTTTGAGACCGGATCTCTCTGTAGCCCCAGTTGGCCTGGAACTTGCTCGCTGTATAGACCAGGCTGGCCAAGACCTCACAGAGATCCACCTGCCTTTGCCTCCCAAGTGCTGGAACTAAAGGCATGTACCACCACGCCCAGTGACTTTTCCCTTTCTTGACAACTTTGTATTTCCATATCTCTCCTCATCCCAGTCTTCTGTTCCCTTTTCTTTTTAGCGTTTCTACCTATAATAGTTCCTTCTTCCTAAAATGTCTTCATGGGAACAGAACCTCTCACGTTTGAGGTGATTCTTTCTAAGGTTTTTAGTTCTTATTTTTCTTCTTTGAGGTAGTGACACCATCTGAAAGCTTGCTGGCACTATCAGAAATGTTTATCTCTGCCACCACCTTGTGCCTCTTCTACCTAGTAATATTTGCATTCATTCCTCTGATAAAATTATCATTGTTTTAAGAATAAGGGCCTCTGTCTTTTATACCAGACTAAATTCCCAGAAAAGCACAGCTGGACCAATTTATTCATTTCTAAAATATACCCATTGTTGTATTTAAAAAAAAATACATTTTTTTTCAATATTTAATTTATTATTTTTATGTGTATGTGCGTATTGCCTGCATGTAGGTAAGTGCACCCATGTCATACAATGCCCATGGAGGACAAAAGAGGCTGTCAGATCCCCTGGAACTGGAGTTAGGGACAGTTGTTAGCTGCCATGTGGGTGCTGGGATTCGAACCTGGGTCTTCTGCAAGAACAGCCAGTGTTCTTAACTGCTATAAAATCTCTCCAGCCTTGAACATTTTATTTTTTACTTATTGTTTTTATTTTATGTTTATGAGTGTATTGTCTGCATGCAACTAAGTGCACCCGTGTTGTGCAGTGCCTGTACAAGAGGTCAGAAGAGACTGATGGATCCCCTGGAACTGGAGTTATGGATGGTTGTTAGCTGCCATGTGGGTGCTGGGAACCCGGGTCCTCTTGTAAGAGCAGCCAGTGCTCTTAACCACTGAGCCATCTCTCTCTCCTAAGATTCTCATTCTTACTCTGCCAACATAGTGATAGTGTGAAGAGCTGAGCACCGAGTGTAAAGGCACATGCCTGTAGTCCAGCATTGAGGAGAAGCAGGAGGCCAGCCTTAGCTACAGAGCAAGACCCTCTCTCAAAAGACAAGTACTCCGGGAGTAACTCTGTGGTGGGGTGCTTGTCTAGAATGCACAAAGCCCTGGGTTCTAAACCATACCACTGCAGGGAGAAGAAAAGATAATGCATGTGGCAGTGCTTTGAAAATGTCTTAAAAGTGTGCAGGGTATAGTTACGGAAAGTTAGCTGATGCTTGGGCTAGATATTGCAGTAAAATTTGGTGATTGTTACATGGCTCTTTTTTGTATCAGTAGTTTATTAGATTTTATCTTACTGCTTCCCCTTATTTTAGCTGTGTATGCTTTTTTCTAAAATTTTATGTGTATGAGTGCATTGCCTGCATGTATATAAGTGTACCTATGTCGTGCAGTGCTAGCGTTGGATTCCCCTGAAATTAGAGTTATGGATAGTTGTTAGCCACCATGCGGGTGCTGGGAATCAAACCTGAGTCCTCTGCAAGAGCAGCCAGTGCTCTTAACTGCTGAGCCATCTATCTAGCCCTCCTTTTATATTTATTTAAAATTACCAGTTTTTCAACTGATTACTGCTAGATGAGGAACAGCTGACCCTCCTAAAACAAAGACCTCTAGATAGGCTGACTAGATTCACCAGAAGGGCAAGTAATGGGGAATGGCTTGGTGAGCCGACAACACAGCAGACAGTAGCAGGGATATCAGAGTATAAGGGCTGTAGTGGGGGGAGGGAGGCTATGGGAGGGTGCTATCTGGGAAGTGGGTGTTAAAAAAAAATGTTTTTTTTAATTTGCCAGTTTTTCTAAGATCTAAGAGAGGATATTGTTAACATTGAAACTAATTTTTAATACAGTTTTTTTCAAAAGCTAGAGAGCTTTAGTAGACTTTCTGAGGATATACTATGAATATTCAATGCATAAAACTTTTACTAGCCTGTAATATTTTGTGTCTTTGGTAAAGGAAATAGTTTTCAAGAATGTTGCACTGGGTCCTTAAAATGCTATCTAGTGATCACATCATCAATTGTTAATTCACCATTTATTTATTTTTAATATAGGTCTTACCATGCGACCCAGTCTGGCCTGGAACTTACTATGTAGACCAGCCTGGTCTCAAACTCACAGAGATCTATCTGCCTTTCTCTCTGGAGCACTGAAGTTAAAGGCATGCACCACCATGCCCAGCTCTTTTATTTTTATACCTTGGAGTTTTTGTTTATTGTTTGTTTTAAAATGTGGTCCATGTAGTCAGACTGGCCTCAGACTTGCTGTGTAATTGAGGTTGGCGTTCCTTGAACTCCTGATCGTCCTGCTTTCGTGTCCCAGGTCTGGGATTACTGGCGTGCGTTGTCATTTTAGGGTTATGGTTGTTTCTTGTTTATTTTTTTTCTCTGTCCTGGCCTCAAGTGATCTTCCTGCCAGAGCCTACTGAGTAGCTAGAACTACTGCATGTACCACCTTGTGCCGCTTTAGGCCTTTTTTCCTTTAAACTTAGCGTTTTTATCTTAAAGGGCAAATATGTAATAACAGTGTATCTCTCAGTGAGGAGTTCCAGTAGAGTAGAAATTTGGTATGTCAAATTTTGGGTCTCTCTATTTGTTTTTCTGCTAGTCAAAATTTTGCATCTTGCAAATTTTTAGCAACTTACGGTGTTTTGTTACAATTTTGTGACTAATTATTTTAAAATAGATTTCAGTGAATTCTTTTTTCATGTTAGAAATTATAAGCCGCATATGGTGGCAAATCCTATAAAACTAGCACTTGGGAGACAAAGAGGGAGGGAATCACAAGAGCAAGGCCAGCTTAGGGCACAGAGTGAGACCCTGCCTCAAGCCAGTGTGAATAACAAGAAAACTGTAAAATATCTCTTACTGATTGTAACTATGAATTCTTGCTTCCTTAATAGGTGTTAAGAAAGATATTGAGAAGCTTTGTGAAGCTGTACCACAGCTTGTCAGTGTGTTTAAAATCAAGGACAAAATTGGAGAAGGTAAGTTAAGGGTATATCTTGCTATCTTTACAAGGATTTTTTCCCCTTCTATTTTCCTTGTATAATCTTGATTTTTTTTTTCATTATTCTTTTTTAAAAATCTCTCACTTTTTATGCCAGGCGTGGTGGTGCACACCTTTAATCCCAGCCCTCAGAAGGAAGAAGGAGGCAGATCCCTGTGAGATCCAGGCCAGCCTGGTCCACATAGTGACTTCCAGATGGGCTGGTACTAGGGAGATCCTGTCAAAAAACAAACAAAAAAAAAAGTATCTCACTTTGTATAAATAAATACTTATAATAAAATGAACAGTCATAATAATCTAGTACACCATTAAGACATTTGTTAATCTCATAACATTGTTTTCTTAATATTTTTTAAAGCCTAATATTGAAAAATCTAATAAATTGTTCCATAGGCACCTTCAGCTCTGTTTATTTGGCCACAGCACAATTGCAAGTAGGACGTGAAGAGAAAATTGCTTTAAAACACTTAATTCCAACAAGTCATCCAGTAAGAATTGCAGCAGAACTTCAGTGTCTAACAGTTGCTGGGTAGGCAATTTAAAGACGTTTTAATTGAACTGGCTACATGTAATTTGTAATACTTAAAAGTGGAAGTTTAATAGGAATGATGAGATTTTATAAAAGTTTTCAGTTACTTGTTTGTTGTTGGCTAGCTTTTGCCCCTAACCTCACAATAGTAATTTAAATTTTTATTAATTCTTTCCAACAGAGCTTCTCTTAAGACCTGGCTTGACCGCCTCTTCTTATTCCATGTCCTTTTGTAACTTTCTTGCCAAATGTCGATCGTGGCCACATGGTTTAGGTTTGATTTTAGTGCGGGGAACTCTTGTTTCACATCCCCACAGCTATTGACAGCATTATCTCATGTGTTGTATTTAGAGCAGAATCTTTTGGCATCTCAGTTTCTTCTAGGTTATTCCTGTAGGTTTAGGAACATGATGTAGTGTTCACCCTCCTGAACTGTCCTCTGTCTTTCAGTCGCTTTATCTGTCCTTTGCTCACTCGCATGGCCAGACTCCTCAATTTTTTACACTTGCCATTCTCACTTACACACTTCCATTGACTACACACTCAGTTGGCACTTTCTTCTTTGGCACTAAAACTACTTTCAGTTAGTCAACCGTGACTGAGTTATCATTTAACATAATTAACTTTTTACATTTCTATTTTATTATTATTAGCATGCATATGTGTTTCTGGAGGTCAGTGAACAACTTTCAGGAATTGGTTTTCTCCTGCTGTGTGGGTTCTGGAAATTAAACTCAGGTGATCAGACATGCACAGGGAAAGAACCTTTACCCCCTGAGCCATCTCACTGGCCCATAATTTTTTTTTTTTTAAACAGATGCAGAAGAGTTGCAATTTATGGGGTATGATGAAATGTTGTTATAAGTGTATAATGATCAAATTGGGATAATTAATTCATTTCCTTAAACGTTTATCTTTTTTTTCGTGTGTTGCAAACCTTCAGATTCCTCATAGTTCTTCGTAAGATATGTAATAAATTACTGTGAACTATAGTCACACTACTGCACTGCAGAATGCTAGACTTTATTCCTCCCAGCTATTGTTTGATGTTCATTATCCAGCCTTCATGTATCTCCTGCCCTCTAGTAATCCTGTTCTACCCTCTACTTGTACGAAATCAACTCTGTGGGCTTCCATATATAAGATATATATTTGTCTTTGTGTCTGACCTATTTCATGTAACACAGTGTCCTCTGCTTTCATCCGTGTTGTCCCAAACGACAGATTTTTTATGACTTAATGATTTTCCATTGTGTATGAATGTACCATGTTTTCTTTATCCATTCATCTGTTGGTGGACACTTTGATTCCATATCTTGGCAATTGTGAACAGTACTGCAGTAAACATGGGTGTGCCCGTATCCCTTTGAAACACAGATTCATTTCTTCCCAGTAGTGGGATTGCTAAACTATATACTGGTCCTAGCCTTAGTTTTCTGAAGAACCTCTGTACTGTTTTCCATAGTAGCTGTCTGTAAGGATTCCCCTTTCTCCACATCCTCATCAGCATTTGCTGTTTTGATTTTCATCTTTAAAATTTTTTTAAGAACTATTTTTGTTTTGTGTATGTGAGTGTTTTGCTTGCATGTATGTAAGTGAACCTTTTTCATTCAATGCCTGTGGAGGCCAGACAAGGACATTGGATCCCCTGGAACTGGAGTTATGGATGGTTGTTAGCCATCATGTGGGTGTTGGGAACCAAACCCAGGTCTTCTGTGGGAGCAGCCAGGGCTCTTAACCTCTGAGCTATCTCTCTAGCCCTAATTATTTTTTCATTGTAGCCATTCTGATTGTAGTACAGTGGTTATTTCATTGTGATTTTGGTTCACATTTCTCTGATGATTGATGATGTTGAGCATTTTTTCATATGTTGGCTGTTTGTATGTCGTCTTCTGAGAAATGTCTATTCAGATCATTTCCCTATTTTTTAATCAGAGTATTTGAGGTTTTCTGTTAATTTTTAGAGTTCTTTATATACTATGGATAATAATTCCTTATTGGATAACCAGTTTTCAGATACCTTGTCCCATTATGCGGATTGTGTCTTCACTCTGTTGATTGATTTCCTTGAGGAGCAGAAACTTTTTAATCTCATTTGTCAGTTTTTGCTTTTGTTGCCTGTAATTTTGGGGGCTTACATACAAAACCTATCATTGCCCATACTAATGTCTTGGAGTATGTCTGCTGTATTATTCTAGTAGTTTCTTGGTCTCCAGTCCTAGGTCCATTTGGAGTTTTGTTTTTATACATGGTGAGAGTTAGGGTCTCATTTTCATCTTTCTGCATGTAGGGATCCAGTTTTCCCAGTGTATTAAGAGACCTTTTCTCCAGTGTTAAGTTTTTGGTTGAAGATCAGTTGACTGGGTATGTGGGTTTGTTTCTGTGTTCTCTGTCTTGTTCCATTGGCCAATGTGTTGGTTACCATGCTCCCATCATTCTGTTTTGGTTACATGGCTGTCTGGTTTGTTTTAAGGTCAGGTGTTGTGATGCTTCAGGATGGCCTTGGCTATTTAGGGTCTCTTTCATTCTGGTGAATTTTAGAATTGTTTTTCTAGTTCTGTGAAAAGTGCTGTTGATATTTTGTCGAGACTTATATTGAATCTTTAGATTGCTTTGGGTAGTATGGAGAGTTTAACAGTTTCTCCCAAACATGGCCATGGTGTCTTTCCATGGTTTTGTGTCCTCAGTGTTTTGTGGAGATTAGCATGACTGATTTGAACATTGTCTTTCTTTTCACTTCTGTGCTATCATTCCCTCCTTAGTCATTCCTCTCCTCCCTCTTTTCTTCCTCAGTACCCTTCGCTAGCTTTTCCTCTTATTCTGCATAGTAGCTGAAGGTTGAAATTCCCCAGTGTTTCATCCTAGGCTTACTTTGTTTTTCCTTAGGTAATATCCTGCATTTCCATGTGGCTTATAATAATGTTTCCCCAAAATATATATCTAGCCTCAGCCCCTTTATTTGCATGACTTCAGATTTGTATATATTCAACTCCCTACTTGACATTTCCACTTGGGTGGCTGGTACACGTTCCAAAATTCCTATGTGAAAAACTTAAGCTTTGGATGCTGGACAAATGGCACAGTGGTTAAAATTGCTTGCTGTGCAACAGTGAGGACTTGAGTTTGAATGTAATAAGCTGGGCCTGGTAATGCACTTGTAACTCCAGCATTGTGAGGGATAGAGTCAGGAAGATAGCTGGGGTTCACTGGGTGCCAGCCTAATAAAAAAAATATGAGCTCCATGTTCAGGGAGAGACCCTGACTCAAATGAATAAGGTGGAGAGCGATAGAGGACAACACCTGATACCCTCCTCTGGCTTATGTGGATGCATACAGGTGTGCACATCTGTACAACTGAGGAGATGGTGGTAACTTTTGCACAAGTGTTCTCATTTATCTGTGCAAAAGGTACCACCATCTCAAGCCAAATACATAGTCATCATCCTCAGTTTCCTTATTTTTCCCTAAGTTATGCCCATTACCAGGTCTTAGTCATCTGACTCCAAATGTATATAAAAACTCACCCAAGCTGAGCATGGCTGTGCATACCTATAATCTCAATACTTGAGAGCCAAGGCAGGAGGATTACCATGAGTTTTTAGGCTACAGATTGAGACCCTGGGTCAAAAAAAAAATAGTACCACTTCTCTCTGCAAGTACTCTCCCAACTTCTTGCTTGGCTTCCCACTTAAGATGGTATGAAAGTTAGTGTTGACTGTCACCTAGACAGGCACTAGGATCACCTAGGAGACAAGCCTCCAGGCATACCTTTGAGGGATTATCTGGTTAAGGTTAGCCTCTGATTCTGAGGAATTGTCTTGTTAGGATAATTGATGTGGGAAGACCCATCTTAACTGTGGGCAGCACCATTCCCTTGGTGGGAACCCTGAACTGAATTGCTCTTGGCTTCTTGATTGAGGATTTGAAGTGACCAGCTCCTTCAACCTCCTGCTGCCTGGAGTATATCCTTGAACTGTGAACCAGAACGAACCCTTTCTTACTACTTGCTTTTCTTAGGTTTTTGGGTTTTATTTTTTATATATACATGTGTGCATGTGCACCCATGCCCTTGTGCATACATATACACAAACACAAAGCCCTAAATTTTAATCTACCCTCCCTAGCCCGAAAAAAAGTCTGTATACCAAAGAGGTGCTTGCACTCCCGTGTTTATTGCAGGACTATTCACAACAACAAGATATGGAAACAAAGTGTCCATCAAATGAATAGACGAAAAAAGTATAGTAGACATACATGATGTAAAATGCTTAGCTCAGAGCTTGGCTGATTATAGTGATGGTCAATAAATGTGACTTATTTTTAAAATTTATTACTGTCAGCATCTGCTACTCTTGTTCACCTTTCCCTTCTCATTCTGTTAAAACTGTAAATATGTTTGAATATAGTAAACTCATAAAGTGCTATTTTTGTTTTAAAAGTTTATCTTTTATATGTCAGTTAAATATTTATGCTTTCTGATTTAATTTTGAGCTTCCTAGCAATATGTTTGCATTACTAAAATTGTTCTTATTTTTTTGAAGGCATAAAGCTACATGCATTTGACCTTCCCTCTAAAGTTCATTATGTGTTTTTTCCACTAGGGGAGAAGACAATGTCATGGGAGTTAAATTCTGCTTTAGGAAAAATGATCATGTGGTGATTGCAATGCCGTATCTAGAACATGAGTCCTTTTTGGTACGTTTTAATAGTTCTTGAATTTTAATTAGCTAAATGTTTAATTGAAACAATTTTGTGACCTCGTGACTTTATTTTAGGACATTTTGAATTCTCTTTCCTTTCAAGAAGTGCGGGAATATATGTTTAATCTCTTCAAAGCTTTGAAACGGATTCATCAGTTTGGAATTGTTCACCGTGATGTTAAGCCCAGCAATTTTTTATATAATAGACGCCTGAAAAAGTAAGTATGAATAATCCCAGAAAATATTTACCCCTAGTTGAATTTGTGCTATGGAGTTCATCCATTGCTTAGACATACACCATAAAATAAAGCATCAGCAAGCTCCGATGATTTTTCTTTAAAAGTTTTATTAGGATTGGGGAAAGGAAATGCAACTGAAGAAAATAAGATATTATTTTCAATAAATAATGTATATCATAAGACGTGCCTGCCGTGGTTCAACCAAAAGCATTTAGCTAAAAGAAATTTAGAACGTAGCACTTGTTGGCCTTCCTATGTCTCTTATCTCTAGGCTTCATGGGTTTTTTTGTTGTTGTTTTTTTGTTTTGGTGGGGGGGTGAGAGAATTAGGTGACATTAATAGTTCATTTTCTGTTTTAACACCAAAGTTGCTGTTATGCACTTTTTTTGTGGATTGTGTAGGTAAGGGATATAAGCTGAAAGTTGAAAGTAGCATTTATGTTACTTATATAAGTATAGCACAATGACTATGGTAAGAAGATTCAAACTATAGTTCTTTCTGGGTTTTTATTGTGTTTTGTTTTTTTGTTTTTGTTTGGTTTTGTTTTTTCGGTCTTTTTAAGACAGGGTCTCCTATAGCCCCAGCTTACCTGGATCTCACTATGTAGACCATGCTGGCCTTGAACTTACAGAGCTCTGCCTGCCTCTGCCTCCCTGGGACAAAAAGCTGCACCATCATGCCCCGGCTTCCTTCTTAGGTTCTTATGCCCTTGTTTTTTTCTTTTTAATTCCATTAATCTTGTTTAGTTAGAAATACTTACTGTAACGTCATCTTTTCCACTGCTGAAGAATCAAGGATTTTGCTTTTTTGTTTGTATTATGCATCCCTCTTCTGCCCTGTGAGTACAGACTATGAGAAAAGTAGAGAGGAGAGCAAATACCTGTTGGGTGGTTGAAGGGCACACCTGATCTGGAACTCACTGTGTAGACCAGGCTGGCCTTGATCTCACAGAGATCTGCCTGCCTCTGCCTCCCAAGTGCTGGGATTAAAGGTGTGTGCCACCATGCCCAGCTTGAATATTTGTAAATTCTTAGCTGGTTCTACGAGTGTGATTTGAGAGCATAACAGAGTTAATTTTGCTACTTAGGTATGCCTTGGTAGACTTTGGTTTGGCCCAAGGAACTCCTGATACGAAAATAGAACTTCTCAAGTTCGTCCAGTCCGAAGCTCAGCAGGAAGGCTCTTCACGGAGCAGGTACAATGGAACCATCGGAAACAAGAGTTCGTTGAGTCGCCCAGCATCCAAGAATCTGGATCAGCAGTCTACCACAAAAACTTCTGTCAAAAGACCCTACACCAGTGCACAAATCCACATTAAACAAGGAAAAGATGGAAAGGTTCTACCTTTGACATTTTTGAGATACAAATGGTTTTAGGAATGTTTTTTCTTCGGCCAACAGAGGGAGATGTAATGATAGGCTAGTACTTGTGATTAAAAAGTTTTCCTTTTTTATAAAAAAACCTTTGTTATGTTTTGAATTGATTAGATTTCCACTAAGAATGGTACTGAATTATTTTGCATACTATTTCAAACTAAAATTTTTGTTACCAATTTATGATCTTTGTCATATGATAAAATGAAAAATAATGAATTTTCCCCTGCATATTCTAAAGTTTAGATTAATGTCCTTTTTTCCCCTTCTTTTTTAAAATATATTAGTTACAGGAAAAAAAATTATAAAGTGTCTATCTCCATTTTAGCTGCACAAGAAAGCGTGGCATCTATGCAGCAGCTTTAGATTTTTTTAGTTACATAAATATATGTGTTTGGACTGTGATGAAATCGTATGAGTGTTCAGAGTTCTGCCTAGACTGTTTTCTCCTCTCACAGAAGTGTTGGTGAATGTCTTGGATATAGCTGTTTTTCTTTCATGTCATTTAGCTCTTTCGAGACTGTGGCAGAGTACAGCTGGCAGAAAGTGTTACAGATGTAATCCATATTTTCCTTGTTTTTGTTGGTATTGTAGGAGGGATCTGTAGGCCTTTCTGTCCAGCGCTCTGTTTTTGGAGAAAGAAATTTCAATATACACAGCTCCATTTCACATGAGAGCCCTGCAGTGAAAGTAAGTAATGTAGCTTAATAGTTCATGGTCAGTCAGCATATTTAGAGAATTTAGGGACTCAGTAGAGTAGCTTTTGTGTAGAGTTTGGCTTTGGCAGAAGATATTGCTGCTTTGAGCATTTACTCAAATTTTCATCTTTAATTTTTTTCCTGAATTTCTCTGGTCGAATTTTTCATTGTTTTTGGTTAACTATTACTCTTCTTTCTCTAAAGGGACATTGGGAATATGGCTAGAATGTAAGCTCCTAGCACCTGCATAGTTGTGCCACATAGCTAATAGTGTCTCAGTGTTAGGTGACCTTAAATTGACTTAGGATATGCTGTGACAGCTAGACAACTCAAACAAAAAATGAACTCTAACCAGTGTAATTGTGCAGGTTCTGATTCTGAAATGGAGTTAGACACTAGACTGTAACTGTTATTACTCTTATAATACTTTCGTAATATATCAGGAAATGTTCTAATAAAATGAAAACTACCCGGGTGTGGTGGTGCATGCTTTTAGTCCCAGCACTTGGGAGGCAGAGGCAGGTGGATCTCTGTGAGATCTAGGCCAGCCTGGTGTACATAGTGCCAGGCTAGCTGGAGCTATAGGGAGACCCTGCCTCAAAAAGACCAAAAATAAAGTGAAAATGAAGTAATTTGCCAAACTTAACTGGTAAATTTTAATGCTGTTTGGCAGAAAACCTAACAAAAGTCTTTAAACTTTTTTTTTTTTTTTTTTGATTTGGTTTTTGAGACAGGATCTCACTACATAGCCTAGGCTGGCCTCAAACTTGGCAATCCTCCTGTCTCAGCTTCCCTAATGCTGATATTACTAACATGTGCCACCATGTCCAGTGGTCTTAAAACATTTTAATAGGCAAGTGCTGATTTGCAGTCCAGTAGCCCCTTCAGCAGTTTTAAAAGAGACATTTCTGCTACTGCTTTTTACCATGCTATCATTCAAAGGCATCATGCTAAATGTCCTGAGAATAGAAAATATGACTTTTCTTTTATAGCTCATAAAGCAGTCAAAGACTGTGGATATAATATCAAGAAAGCTAACAACGAAAAAGAAGGGCATTTCTACTAAAGTTATGAATAGTGGCGTGATAAAGAAAACTGCCAGTTCTTATCCATCTGTCTTGACTTGCGACTGTTATGGAACAGATAAAGTGTGCAGTATTTGCCTTTCAAGGTAATGTGTTTCAATGGTGCTGTAAAGTCACCAGCATGCTGCCCACAAGATCAGAAATTGAAATCGCTTAAGTGGGATATTGGTTTAATGAGTAAGGAGAGTAACATGGATCTGTGAGCTACAGGCCCGATGCCCAGCAGGACTTCAAAGTGCAGATGATTATTGTTGTCATATATTGTTCATTTAACACACATGCTGTTTCCGAAAAACATGTTTGCTCTTCCCTGCAAATAGGGATAGAGAGTGGCTCTTGGAGATGCCCAAGTTGCTTATGTTGTTTGCTGATAGAGTTTTCTTTGTTCTTTCCCAAGTGGAATAACCAGGACCAATAACAAGAGTTCCTCTTTGCCATTTTTCTGTTTCCATTAAACTTGGTTTTTATTGTCTCTTTCCTGATTAACTCAAATCTACACATGAATAAGTATATTAACAATCACCTCCAAGCATCATTTTTATATAAATTCCTGCTATGTTCAATTTTTCTATTATGGTTTTTTATTATCTATCATCTTTTTATATTTTATAAGCAGTGGCCTTAAAATCTGGAATAAGGCCGGGAACAGAGTTGGTGAGGGAAATGTGTAGAAACAATCTAGGACGTTTATCACATTAGATTTTCCATTTCTTTATGATAATTTTTATTTATACTGACACCAAGACAAGATTTTGTGTGAATGCACGTTTTTTACTTAAATGAATAAATTTTAGTGTAACTAACTAGGAAATCTTATTTCTTTATCATAAGGCGTCAGCAGGTTGCCCCCCGGGCGGGCACACCAGGATTTAGAGCCCCAGAAGTCTTGACAAAGTGTCCCAATCAAACCACAGGTATGGCACATTAGAAATACACAGTCCAACTCAAATGGATTGTTCCAGATAGATTTTACTTTGTGATCATTATTTATAATATTGAGCTTTCCAGTTTTAAATGCTGTAAACATGTCTAGCAGTATAACATTCCCATTTTTCAGATAGTGTATTTCTTTATGGAAGTTATGATCTTTTTTTTCATTTTAAGGACATTTTCCCCTAGATTGTATTTTGCTTCTATTTAAAAGATAATTTCACTAGGAATTTTGTTACCATCCCCTTTGGAAAGCTGTAATTAGTAGCTTTTGTCAGCTTTAGAATTGTAGCTGTTTACTTAGTACTTCAAAAGTTTTCTGTGGTAGAGATAAGAAATGATTAAAATTATTTTTTTTGTTATGACAAAAACAGTGTACTAGCAGTGAACAGATTTTGAAAAAGATTTCTAAAATCCAGAAAGTTGTCCAACAAAGCTGGAATTCAAGGGGACACTGTGTTAAATAAATAGATGACTCCTGCTATCCTCTTGGATTATGGGCTTTGAAGAAATGTATCCATTGATTGTATGGTTGTCCTGTGCTTGCTAGTAATGTAGAATGCAAAATAGAATGACCATCTGTTCACATTCTAGTTAGGACACAGTCTCAGAATTAAAAAATGACCTTTCAAATATGATGATAAAACTGTACAAGGTATTGAGGGGTTACCTTACCCCGAGGGATTATAAACGAAATTCGTGGAAGGGATGACCTCTGAGAAAGGACCATAAAGGAGAGTTGGGGGATTAACATTGAGTATGAACTAAGGAACTCAAGAAATAGCATAGTCTCGCCATGCAGGAAATTCTTAAAAGTTTAGTGTCGTTTGAGTGTAAAATGGAAGTCAAGAAATGGTTAGAAATAAACCTGGAAAGAGGTCCAGATCACACTTGTTAAACAGCTTTGGCTGTGTACCATATAGACAGCCATTCAAGGAAACCAGATGGTATTGATTCTAGCTAGGTCACTCTGGCACATATGCAGAAAGAATAGATTTAGAGGCTGGTATCCTACAGTGGTCCAGGTGAGAGGTAGTTAAAACACGAATAAGGACATTTGTAACAAGAATGAAAAGAAAGGTAAGAAGTTGGAAAAACAGAGTTTAGTAGGTAATTGGTCATCAAAACATGAGCATAGGGTACAGAGGGAAAAGGCATCCAGATATTTATCGCATTAGTAGCCTGAGGGCCTTGGATATGTACCAGAAAATGAGGTGGAGGATGAGGGAGAGGTAACTGGTTTACAGGGAAAAGTAAAATTGGATTGGGTGGTAACTGGTTTGAGATATTTGTGGTACATTCAAGTAGAAATGTCCTGCAGAATAAAAGCCGAGTCTGAAGCTTCAGGAAGGAGCTGGACTGGAAACAATAAGTGTCTTTATATAAATGGTAGTGGGCTCTGTAAAGTGGATGGAACTGTCAGGGAGAATGTGCAGGGAAGGAACTCTGAGGCACCTCAGCATGTTAGGCTTGGAACAAAGATTGAAGGAGCAGACAAGAGTACAGATGAAACCTAGACCAGTGATGAGTGGCCAAGGGAACAGAGTAGTAACTTGTTAATAAATACTGGGACAGTTAGGAGGAAAGATGGCCCTAAAAGAAAAAGCATGAATTTTTTTTTAAAGTATTTTTTTGTATATACATTTTTTTATTTATTATTTTTATTTTATGTCATGGGTATATTGCCTGCATGTATGTGAGTGCACCCGTGTCGTGCAGTGCCATGGAAATCAGAAGAGGACGTTGGACTCCCCTGGAACTGGAGTTAAGGATGGTTCGTAGCAGCCATGTGGGTGCTGGGAATCGAACCCGGGTCCTTTGCAAGAACAGTCAGTGCTCTTAACTGCTGAGCCATCTCTCCAGCCCCATGAACTTCTTAATTAAAGCTGAGCTAGTCATTTTTTTGTTTTTGTTTGGTGGTGCTGGGGCACAAACCCAGGGCTATAGCTGAGCTAATCTTAACGGTCAGTACATTTCACTAAAATGAGTGCACTTGCACTCCTGTGTCATAATTCTTGAGAGGCATCCAGATCCCCCCCCCCCCACAGCTGTTCTTTAATTTCCTTTGATCTTATAAAATTTACATTTACTTACAGTTTTCTAATGATGAAATATCCTGTGCAATTCACCTATGCATTCAAGAAAGAAAACTAGTTTGTAGTAAGGATGTCGAAACAGGGTTGTGGCTGTATATTAAAATCACTGAGAACTATTTGGTGGGGACCTCTGTTGGGTCAAGCTTAGGTATCCTAATTTGTTGAGGCTTCCAAGATGAAAGTGCACAGTAAGGGTATAGAGCTACTGATTTAGATGGTGAAATTAGAGATCTGGGATTGTTGTTTAAAGTTTGTTTTCTGTTACAGCAATTGACATGTGGTCTGCAGGTGTCATATTCCTTTCTTTGCTTAGTGGACGGTATCCATTTTATAAAGCCAGTGATGATTTAACTGCTTTGGCTCAAATTATGACAATTCGGGGATCCAAGGAAACCATCCAGGCTGCTCAAACTTTTGGTAAGCAGCTTTGTATATTATAGAACAAAAACAGATGCCTTTTATTATCTCCTAGTAAATTATTATCAAATCTCCTTATAAATAAACTTGTTCAATATTCATAGTTATTTAATCTTGGGAAATTATTCACTTGCTTGAAAATAATGTAATATTGTCAAATACAGAGTACTTAATGACTTACTATTTGAAGCTCAACTTTGTAATCTTTTTTGTCAACCAACTAGAAGAAATCAGTTATGTAGTCTTAAACAAGTAATAAGATGTTAACTCTTTAATTACAGTTTGACTTTTATTACATAAATATTTGTAATAAGTTTTAACCTTTTGTTGTATATTAAATATCAGCTATTCTACTTGGTACTGAAGTTAGGACTGATTTTAGTCTAACAAGGAAACAGCTATAATGTAGTGTTATAAGAACTACAGTGAAAAAGAGAATAGAAATGTGTATTAGCCATTAGTTTTCTTGGGGTTAGGGCAGCAGAGAAGTGAAATGAATGGAAGACTTTCTGGTGGAATGAAAAAAGTGCTGCAAAATAAAAGGTATCTGAAGTTCAGGGACGGAGCTAGGCTGGAAACATGGTTAAGTGTCATGATATAAATGGTAGTTGGAGCTGAAAAGTGGGTGGAACTATCATAGTATGCAGGGAGGGCATTAGAACTCTGAGGAACAGTATTTTGATTTTTTTATCGGTTTTTATTTTGTTTTATTTTTTAAGTTGTTTTATTTTGTGTGTATGGGTGTTTTGCCTGCATGTATGAAAGTGCATGTGTGTCATGCAGTGTTTGAAGAGGCCAGAAGAGGGTGTTAAATTCTGGAGTTATGAAGGGTTGTGAGCCCCCATGTAGGTGCTGGGAACTGAATATGCATCCTCTGGAAGAGCAGCTAGTGCTCTTAACCTCTGAGTCATCTCTACAGCCCCTGTTTTATTTTTTGAGACAGTGTCTCACTCTATAGTCCTGGCTGGCCTGAAACTCACTATGTAGACCAGGCTGGCCTGGAACTCATAGAGATCTGCTTGCTTCTGCTTCCTGAGAAGTTGTGCATCACCACACATTGCCCATAAGCCTATATTGAACATGGGAAATCATGCCCTTTGGAACACAGTGTGACTGAGATGATGCATTTTATAAGACACCAGAAAATTATTTTAGCCTTGCTCAAACTCAAGTGTCCACTTTGGATTTGTTCTCCAAGGGTAATTGTAGTTAATCCTTTCTAAGAGTTTAGGTATATTCTTGAGTCAGATGGTAATACTGAATACCCCTATGGACAGAGTTTCAGTTAATTGAGCTGCTATGTGCCCAGTCCCAGATCAATAATTCTTAAAAGTACATATCAGAATTAACTGACAAATTTTAAGAACCACATATGTCTGCCCTCAGCCTACCCATTCATAGAAAAATGGGATACTTGGGAAGTCTTCTGGCTTGTCAATTTAAAGACCAAGAACTCTTCTAGTTAAGAATGACTGCAAAAATGCCCTGCTTGGGACCAGTGCCAAGGTCTAATGCAGAAGGAAAACTATGTGGTGGTTTTCAGGAGAGTCTCAAAGCAGGCTTGCCAGGAAAAATTTCTACAACTATGTCTTCAATTTGTACCTGTCCTCTACCTATTATAAGAAAATTTTGTTTGAAATTAATGGGATGAATAATACATAAAAGGAAACAGTGTTATTGATATCTTGAAACTAGTATTGCATCACAAAGAATATAGCTTGAGTACATTTGTTCTCAATTAATGGAGAAAAAACTTCCATTCACCATTAAACAACTTTAAGAAAAGTTCGTGAATATGAAGTTTATCAGCCAGCACCAAATACTTTGTTGATAAGCGTGAATTTCCTTCATTGATAGTTAAAGTTGTGATGGGGGGGTCAATATTGGAAGTACAACATCTGATAGGGCAAGTGCCTTGGTAGCAAATTGGGGCTTTTAGAAATTTATCATTGTAGAACTGGATGTGGTAGCCCATGTCAAGCACTCAGGAGACACAAGCAGGTGAATCTCTGAAATCGAGGCTAGCCTGGTCTACGTAGCAAGTTCCAGCCCAACTAGGGCTACAGCGCAATACCCTACCTCAAAAAGAAAAGAAAGAAAGAAAAGAAATTTACCATTATAGTACTTTTCTTATTAAAATGTTGGATAGCAGGAGGCAGAGGCAGACAGATCTCTGTGAGGTCAGGTTGGGACCAGCCTGGTCTACATAGCAAGTTCCAGGCCAGCTGGGGCTACAGGGAGACCCTGTGTCAAAACAAAAACCAAAAAAAGAAAAACCAAAGTAAATGGATACATACCGGGTAGCAGTGAGTCCAGGCTTTTCTAGTGCAGCTTCTGTAGATACCTCAGTCAGATCTTAGAACTCGGAGCTGAGCACAGAAGACTCAAAATTTCAGTGCCCACAAGTCTGTTCCCTTCAAAACATAAAGTACTGACTTCCTGAGATGCGCAGTGGGAGCCCGTTTAGTGTGGAACCTGCCCTGTCTCCTCAGCCCTAGACCCGCCCCATTGTAAGTAGTCATTAAATAACTCATTTAATTCCATCAAATAAGTTCAAAGAAAATGTTGAGCTCAAACAAATGTCTGACACATAGCAGTCTAACAAAATATAATTTGACTAGATGTGTTAATTAGGTTGCTTTCCTGAATACATGTCTCTTTGGTCATGTGCCAAAATTGACACATATGTATATCTTGAGACAGGCAAAACAGATTGTTAACTATCTCGTGTCAACAATAAAGCTAATAAATTAAGAAATAAAACTATAAAGTATCTTCCTCTGGCTAGAATTCCCTAGAGAAAGTAGAAATGATAGTTTGATAGTTTTAAAAGTTAAAAAGAGGATTGATAGGTTGTACCCTTACCAAACTTAGTTTGTGTTGATTTGTTTCCCTTGCTTTCTCCTTTCCTGTCCATTGTCCTCCTTTTTCCTGTCCAGTAATTATACCAAAATATGTAAAAGTGATGTTTTATTACCCAGACTGCTTTGTTGGCAACTCACATACTTCATTAAGGAATCTACACGCACAACTCATTATTTAAAGCTGCATTTCTGTTTAAGTACGTACAGGGCAAAAATAGTCCATGATGCCCGTTTCTGCCCGTATTTTTGCCTATGTCTGATAATAAGCTGTGGGAAGTTATTTTAAAGACATTTGTATTTAAGATATGTTTTTATTATTTTTTTATTATGTATATGAGTGTTTTGCCTGCATATATGTAAGTGAATCCGTGTTGTAAAATGCCTGCAGAGGTCAGAAGAGGGTGTGGGATCCCTTGGGACTGGAGTTGTGGACAGTTGTTAGCTGCCATGTGGGTTCTGGGAATCGAACCTGGGTCCTCTGGAAGAACAGCGAGTATTCGTAACCACCAAGCCATCTCTCCAGCGGGACATTTATATTTAAACAATTTTTGTGTATGTGGCCTATGTGTTGCATGTGCTGTGTGTGCGCGTGTGTATCTGTTAGCAGAGGTCTGAAGCTGACTTGAGGAATCTTTTATCTTTTGCTCTTCACTGTATTCATTGAGGTCAGATCTCTATGAGTTGAACTCAGAGCTTGCTGGTATGGCTAGTCTGCTAACTAGCTTGCTCTGGGGACCCCATCTCTGCCCTCTAACCCTGTAACTACAGGTGGGCCATTTACGTGGGTTCTGGGAATCAGAGTTCTGGTCCTCACCCTTGGCACAGCAAGTACCTTATCCCCTGAGCCATCCCCCCAGTCTGATATTTATATATTTTTTAAAACCTGAGATCTGGTTTGTTTATTGATTCATTCATGAACATGCGTGAGGCTTTATATGTCATGTACAGCATTCGTATGTAAGTCAGCACTCATAAAGTTTGACTCTAATGGTGAAGATATTTGTAATGAATAGTGTTGAGAAAGACAGAAAGAAAGGGACTGCAGAAGGCTCAGCTGTTGTTTGGGATAGGTTGGTCAAGAGCAACATCTCTAAGAATGTAACATTTGAACAGAGAGACTCAAGTAGATAATGCTTTTTTGTTTAGTCCAACGGACATTAACTGAACACTTAGTTTGTACCAAGAAATGGGTAGGTTTAAGGGGTTTAAAGATAATAAGATAGCCCTCTAAAGAGTTCACAGTTCATTAGGTGAGACAGGCAATTTTTATTAGTTATGGCATTAAAAGTAATAATTCAACTCATTGCAGAGTATAAGAGACTTAATTTTTAATTATTTTAAAAATATTTTATTTATTTTAATTTTATGTGAATGAGTGTTTTGCCTGCATGTATGTTAAGTGTAACACATGTACAGTGCCCAGAGAGACCAGAAGAGGGCGTCAGATCCCCTGAAACTGGAGTTTACATTAAGTTGTTAGCCACCATGTAGCCACAGAAAACTGAACCTGGGTCCTCTGCAGGAGCAGAAAGTACCTTTAACCCTCTGTCCAGCCTTAACAGAGACTTTAAAAGAACTGAGTATCAGAACTCACAGATTGAGTTCTTGAGCTAAGTAGAGATGTATGCAAGTGAGTTTCCTGAACATACGAAGTACATCCTAAGCAAAAACAGGAGCCATGCTGTCAAAGACCTAGAGGCTTGGGAGAGGGGATGAAGGGCGGGAGCTCTAGCTGGTTAAAAATTATGGAAGCGGGACTGGAGAGGTGGCTCAGCAGTTAAGAGCACTGGCTGCACTTGCAGAGGATCCGGGCTTGGTTCCCAGCATCCACATTGAGGCTAACAGCTGTCCACAACTCCAGTTCCAGGGTATTCAATGCCCTCTTCTGACCTACATGGGCATTGCACAACAGGTGCACTTACACACATGCAGGTAATACAGGCAATACACATAAAATTAAAATAATTTAAAAATTGTTTTGAATTATGGCAGGATAAAAGGAAGTGGAAGAAGTTGGCAGAGTCAAGCTAGTGCCTGGCATAGCTTACTAAATCCCCGCTTTCTCTTTCTCCTTTCAACTGTCAAATTTGAATACAAGTTAAAAATAGCACGTGGTACTCTGTCTTATACTCAGATATAGATATAGTTACTTGCAAGTCATGTGGCTACATTTATATGTTTCTCATGAGATACTTCTGATATATTCAAATAATATAATAACATTTTTTTTCACTTTTAGGCAAATTGATTTTGTGTAGCAAAGAAGTCCCAGCACAAGACTTGAGGAAACTCTGTGAGAAGCTCAGGGGTGTAGAGTCTAACACTCCCAAATTAACAAGTGATGTGTCACAGTGTACGTCTCATGACCCTGCTTTTTCAAAGAAGACTGACAACCAAGCTTCTTACCGGGTACAAACTTTGCAAGCACAGCACTTAGAGAATCAGTTGTATACAGAGGACAGTAATGGGAATCAGTTGTATACAGGGGACAATAATGGCCATAGGACTCACTGTGATGAGTGTACTGCGAACTTACAAGGCTGGGACGCTGTACCTGATGAAGCTTATGACCTGCTTGATAAACTTCTGGATCTAAATCCAGCTTCAAGAATAACAGCAGAATCAGCCTTGTTACATCCATTCTTTAAAGATATGAGTTCCTAGTAATGATTCTTCATTTAATTACTGGTGTGTGTTGTGAGATGGGATCACAAGTTCTTGTTTTGATCTAAGTCCAGGTCAGGATGAATAATTTATTTTAAAATTGTAGTATTTGCCTTAGTGGCAGATGGTAAAATATAGATTAAGAATTCTTAAAGTGCCTGGGAAAGTTCTTGACATGATTTTGAGTTAAAACCACCCCAGAGCAGTTTTAACTTGGCACATGAGTTCAGGGTGCAAGTCTTAAAAAGTAATGCATATAGTAGAGAGTAAATGAGTCAGAAGACCGTTTCCAGGTTTGTGATAGGACAAGCACTGAGTGTTTTGGGGGAATTTGTTCTGGTGCTGATGCCCTGAGTAGTTCATAGGTAAAGAATATAATTTCCTTTCCTGCAGGTGTACGTTATATCTTTTGTGAATACAAAAACAGTTACTGAACAGAAATGTTTGTCACAGGACAGACATTTAAATCTGAAATTGAGTTTAGATTTATCCATTTTCTAAAAGCATTTCATAAAAGCATTTTTGTATAAAACTTGTCATGGATTTTTCTTTTCTGCTTCACTAAATATACTCATTCTCCTTCTAGATTTTACAGTGTTTTCTACAAAGTTTATGGGTGCTTTATTAAATACTATGTGTATTTATACTTGGGAACCTAATAATGTGCACACTGGTTGATAACACAAAGTCCTTACAACCAAGGTGAATGTTAATAGTCCAGAATGCTGCTTTTTCTCTCTCGAGTGCATTTTTTTCACCATCTTAGTTTGTATAATTATGTCGCTGCTACAAGGAAAAGTGAACATAGAATTGAGAATATTACTGGAAATCTTTTTTCCTCTGCTGGAGCATCCAGATTCCTATAACCTGTTCTATGTTGGTCTTGCTCCAACAGGAACGGTTACTGGAGTCTTGGGTGGGTTGGGAAGAGATACAACGAAGTAGACAGAATAGAAAGGAACCTAAGATATAGAGATTTATGCATTATTTACACTCCAAAGTGATACATGTCTATGAGAGCACAGCAGACTTCCCAGGGAAATAAGCCTGGGGGCTAGATCTGCTGAGATTATAGGGAATTCTTACTTATTCTTATTTTGAACATAGATCAGCATGTCTGCCTAATCTGCTTGATCTGTGTGTGTGTGTATATATATAATATGTATAATATCTGTGCATATGTATACACATTGATCTATCTTATACTGTTATCCTTTTTCAAAAACTTGAATGTTTTAAATCTGTTATTTAATAATAAAATTACCTTTTTAGATTCTTATATCAGACTACTTAAAGAATGATAACTTAAGCCGGGTACACAGGGCTGTGCCTGGAGTCTGCAGAGATTGCTTGAGCCAAGTAGAACGAGACAAAGGAGAAAAGAAATAGCTTTTAAAATTTGCCTTCCTTCTAAATTAATGAATAATCCCTCTGCTGCAAATGTGGCCTGTGGGTGGAGTCACAGATACTGACCTCACTGAAGTGATGTGCTTGACTGAATTACCAGATTTTTCAAATCATAAAGCAAACTGGTCTTAACTCAGCTAACATTTTGACTCACAATTTAGCCTCTCATAAAATTAATGGGGTAAAAATGTTAACTACCAAAAGGAAGGGTGAGAAATAGTCTCAGAAAAATTTAGATTTCAAGCTGTTATTTCAACTTTACATTAGGACAGAACACAATTGACATGCAAGGACTGGAGATAAAGATAGTGTTGAAAAAAGCCCGTTACAAATTAGTATCCAGGAAATTTCAATAAAATTGGAGAATGTTGCATCAATTTGGGAAAATACTGTACTTTGCTAATCATAACTAGTAAGGAGCTTCATATACATATCCTAGTGGTGTTTGTGTATATATGTGTGTATGCACATGTATGTGTGTGTGTGTAGAGGAAGGTTTATATCAGGTGTCTTCCTTAACACCACTTTTTTTGGAAACAGGTTTGGCTAGCCAGCAAACCCTAGGGATCTGCTTGTCTCTGCCTCCCCAGTGCCCATCTTCATAAGTGGGTTCTGGGGATCAGAACCTAGATCATCATGCTTGCGTGGCAAACACTTTTTACTGACTGAGCCCAATCTTGGCCCCTTTTTGTGGTTTTTAATATCATTTTGTAACAGTAGATACCTCCCTGAAATATTTTAATTAGGCAGAGTAGTCATTTCTAGGTAAAGATTAAAGTTGAATTATGACTGGACATGGTGGCCCATGCTTTTAATCCCAGGCCCACTTGGGAGGCAGAAGCCGGCGGATCTCTGTGAGTTTGAGGCCAGCCTGGTCTACATAGTTCCAGGCCAGCTGGGGCCACAGGGAGACCCTGACTCAAAAATATCAAAAAAAAAAAAAAGGTTATATTGGGCATGGTGTCACAAGGATTGTGAATTTGAGGGCAGCCTGGGCTATATAACAAGACCCTGTCTCAAAAAGTTACTACCTAATGTCATTTTCTTATTATAAAATTTCCTGGCAGGCGGATCTCTGAGTTCAAGGCCAGCCTGGTCTACATAGTAAGTTCCAGGACAGCTGGGGCTACAGGGAGACCCTGTCTCAAAAAGACCAAAATACAAAACAAAAAAACCCTGGAATATTTAACTGTTTTTCATGGTCAGCTTTTTAAAAATTCTTACTGCTTGAACTTGAAATTGTTAAGGTTGTTTTCATTTACTAAGCCTTTAGACATTTTAGAACCATTAACATAACAAACTACAAAATATTGGTTTTTGAAGCAGGCTGTAGCTCTGGCATTTTTAATGAAACTTTCCCTTATAAGGAGATGGTTATGGTTGTCTTAATGACCTAAATAAAAATGTGTCTCGAGAATTGTTATTCCAAAAAATTAAACAGAGTTTATTTCAAAATCTGAACAAAAGTCATCAAGTAATGTTAATATCTTAGTTTCTGGCATCCGTGTTTTAGGAACAAATTTGTGTTACAGATGTCAGAATATTGATTGCATAAAATCTGGAAACCCACAGAACTTGTAGGGTTAGATCTTAGTAATTTCTGTTGTTTATGTAATTTCAGTCCTGCACGTCAGTGAAAAGTTATTTATTTTAAAAAACTGGCCAAATTTGGCGGGTGGTTTTGTCTGCCGGCATCTGTAGATGTACTGCTTCCACCCACGATTGTGCATGTTGGCTGTGGCCTTTAAGGAACACTAACTCCAGACAGTCATGTCAAATGTCTCCAGATTTTTTTCCCATATTCTTAGAATTGATGTAACTGTTTCCTGATTTTGTCACTCTGTGTCTGAACTGTCTTCTTTCCTTGAAAGGTGGTTGTTGGCACCAGGGTTCTAGATGAATAATGAGAAGTAGTTGATAAGTCTGTCAGATCACACAGTACAGTTTTCAGTGGCATAACCACAGAGACACCACTAAGGTAAGGGTTTAGTAAACATTGATGCTTTAGATATCTCAAGTGGAAAAATCATGGCTTTAGGAGAGCAAATGCAAATTGGGTGAAAATACAAAAGTAGAGCTCAGGAAAGAAGTGGGATTGACACATTAAGAATTTAATAGGACCTAATTTTTTTTCCTCTGGAAGAAAATGAACTAAAAGGATAAAAGTGTCCTTGACCTTTGCTTTGAGTGCTTTATAAAATTAACAGTTGACAGAATAGAATTCAAAGGGATAAGTAGCATTCAAAATCTATTTAAAGAGTGTTTTCACAACTTTTATAAGGCAAGAAAGCTGACTAAAAGGCATATGTAAATGATTGTGAATTGTTTTGAATTTTTAAAAATATTTTATTTGTTATTTTTATTTTTTATATGTTTGAGTATATTGCCTGTGTGTGTGTAAGTGCACCGTATTGTGCAGTGCCCGTGGAGGTCAGAAGAGGGCGTCAGATCCCCTGGAACTGGAGTTATGAAGTTGTTAGCCTTTATGTGGGTGCTGGGAATCTAAACCGGCTCTTTTGCAAGAACAGCCAGTGCTCTTAACCAGTGAGCCATCTCTCCAGTCCCTGGTTTTGAATTTCTTAAGCATGCCCTGAGCAGAGTATCCTTCTGCATGTAATACATCCTAGCCACTGAGCGAATTCTACCTTGGACCCCATTGAAACAACGCTTGAAGAAAAGTAACAGGTTTAACACTAAAAAATTTAATCCCAACACGTGACGACGTGGAATGAATAGCTTCTAGATTCAACTGAGGCTCTAGATTTAGAGAATGCCAGTGCCACTAGTAGGGAACCAGGAAGATGGATCAATGGTGGCCTTTCTGACACCCCGAAATCAGAAAAGTAAAATGCAGACACAGACACTGTCAGCCGTGGAGTGAGAGTACAAGCTATAAGACAACTGAACCGTCAGACAATTTCTTTCTAGTCAGAACATCGGCATATGGTTCCCTATCTACATTTAATTCGTGATGGTATATTTTTGTATGTGTATTCAACTATGCATTTGCCCTTTGTATAAATTTCTTCCATAACTTTCCTGAAGACTGTAGCATCTGCTCTAGAAATGGCTCAAACCAGACCAAGACCAAGGAAGTCAATTAAAAGCAGATGGCTCTATAGCCTCCCATTGTTTTAGCTCTATCTTTAAGAAATAGGATCAGGGGGCCTGGGGAATTTAGCTGCCTCCAAATTTCTCTAGACACTCAACTTAATGCTTTTTTACTGAGTAGCAATGTCTTTATTTCTCATGGCATATTGCTGATTACTTTCTTCTTATACTTGAATGTTCTGATTAAAACAAGGCAAGTCACGCTGTATGTATAGGTATGTGAGTACTCTTGGCAAATATTACCAGAAGTTTCTTAAAGTAACAGTTTTCTCCAAGGGTAGCAAAATAAATGTCTGGTATTCTAGTACCTTTAGGGTTTGTTTTTTAAATTACGTGTGTGTGTGTGTGTGTGTGTGTGTGTGTGTTCCTTCACATGCTTGTATGTGCACTCCCCAGTGCACAGGTCGAAGGCAGAGGATACTTTACAGGAGTCATTTCTCTCCTTCCACCATGTGGAAAATCAGGCTTGGAGACAAGCGCCTTTACCCACTGAGCCCTATCACTGGCCCTTTAGTACCTTTCTTTTAACTTGATTTAAAACTCTATAAATAGTCATATCAAATGTTTAGTCATAGAAAGGAAACATGTTACCACTTCTATGTTAAAGTTAACACTTTGACATCCTCCATCTTTCTTGTGTCTTATGAAGAAGCCTTCCTCTTCATCCATCCCATATGTTGTGAGTAGACAAGTACCTGATGCATATGGAGTTGGTGCTTGATAAATTCTACCTGAATGAGCTGGGTGTGGTGGTGCAGGTCTTTAATCACAGCACTCAGGAGTTCAAGGCCAACCTGGTCTACATAGCAAGTTCAAAACAACCCAAAAACTACCTAAATGATTGCACTTATTAAATTTAATTAGTGTGTTTTCTTGGCAAAATATCAAAACAGAAACCTCTCTTTAACAAGTGTGCCTATATCTGTTTTGTTTGAGATGGTCTCATGTAGCCCACGCTGCCCTTCAACTTGCTATATATTGAGGATTACCTTGATCTTCCTGCCTCCACCTCCCAAGTGCTGGGATTATTATAGGCATGTGCCACCATGTCCAGATTAAGAGCACCT